GCTGCAGAGGTGACATGGACCAGAGGTGTAGCAGAGGCGAAATGGACCAGAGGTGTAACAGAGGCGAAATAGACCAGAGAGGCTGCAGAGGTGACATGGACCAGAGGTGTAGCAGAGGCGAAATGGACCAGAGAGGCTGCAGAGGTGAAATCAACAGGCCTTGGCACCATCTTGGATCTGGGGGTTGAGAGCGAGGAACCCAGGGTGATTCCTAGATTGGAAGCTGAGGGACTGGAAGGATGGGGATGCCTCCTGCAGTAACAGGAAATATAGGAGTGGGGGCGAGTTAGGGGGAAAGACAATGAGAGAAAAGAGAGTGTCCAAGGGGAGAGAGGGATCAACAGCCAAAGGCTGCAGAGAGGTCAATGGGAATGAGGCCTGAGAAAAGGCCACTGGATTTGGCAACTAAGAGATCACTGGTAACTTCGGAAAGAACAGTTCTGAGGGAATGATGAGGTCCTAAGTTGGACTGAAAGCAGTTTGGAAGAGAATGAGAGGAGAGAAAGTGGAGACGCCGGTTGTAGGTGGCTTTTTTGAGGAGTTTAGCTAGAAGAAACAATCTGTTGGAGGAGACAGCATGGAATGGGACCTCTACTTTGGTCGGAAGTAAGGCCACCTCCTCCTGTGAGACAGGGAAGAAGAAAGAGAGAAGAGTAGATGGCAGGTAATGACAAAGGAACCAGGGGTTCAAGAGAAGCCAATGGAGAGTTGAACTGGCTCACCAAGGGCTCAGGAAATGCACTTGTTCCTGGAGAGGAGACTCCACCTTTTTGTCATCTGCTGCTGAAGACCCTCTCTGCTAGGACCCTGGGCTGCTGGGAGCCCAGAGTTCCTCTGAGTCACACTTTGCATTGTATTTCTTATGTAAATATCTGCCTTAAGTCTTTGATAAATAAAAAGTTAGAGACTTAATTTTTTTTTTTTTGAAAAGTCATCCCCACCACAGGGAACCCATGGAGGTCTAGGACTTTTCATTGTTTTATTTCAACATGTGGAAAGCCAAGGGATCAGACTAGACATCCTTGGAGGTCCCTTCCAGCCCTGAATTTATGGTCCTAGGCATTCAGGGAGGAGCAAAGCCACTGTCCCATCTCAGAGGACAACTGGGTGGCATGGAAATAGTTCCTCCAAGTCAGATCCCAGCCCTACATGGTTTGAAGACCCCTTGTCATACACCCCTCCAGAAAAAAATTCTCCACCTGCTCAGCAATGTCTGTGCTTCTTTTAATAGGAGACAGACCCTTCACTCCACAATCTGAGATAAGGTTCTAAAATAGCCATCCTTGGGAGTGAGGGGCACACGCTGGTGCTGCTACAGGCAATCTGACTCTCCAGTGGTGCCTGGGCTGCTTCTTGTGAGCAGCAGCTGCTACCAGGGAAGGGCCTGCATGTGGCCCCCAAGCTTGGCCCCCTCAGGGAGGTGGGAAGGCAAGCTAAGAGGAAAGGAAGTCATCAGCTGCTTTCCCTTAGCAAATAAATCATTCCCTTACTGCTCATGGGAGAATTCATAAGGAGACTCTTAGGACTTTAGTTCCCAAAGATCAAATGCCACATCACCAGGAAGACTGAATGCAGATGGGTGCAGTTTAATAACATTTTATAAAAATGTAGACACATAAAGAATATTTGGTTTTCACTGCCATGAAAACATTGGACAAATTGTTGAATTCACTCATCCAAATTCTGATTATTTTGTGAAGTTATTCCCAGGGGAACTGGCTTCTAAAATAACCAAGCAGCATTCCCCCCAAATGAGCTCTCTTCTCCACAAAGCCTCTCTACTGAAATCACAAACGCAAAGCTCTATACATGACAGTAATACATCAAGTTTGTTTATAAAGGAAATGTCTCCATAAAATGAAGGTTTCCAAGCCCCATCTAACACAAAATACTATTTTTTAAAAAGACTACATAAGAGGCAGCTAGGTGGTGCAGTGGATACAGCACCAGCCCTGGAGTAAAAAAAAAAAAAAAAAAAAAAGACTATAAAACAAGCTATTGCAAAAGTGACCTTGATACAAGCTCATCTCTATGCAGATGATATCCCCGTCTATATAGTCAGCCCTTTTGTTATCAAGTTGGATCTCCTCTCTCTGTGGAACTTACCTTTGTCATACCATTGCTCACCTTTACTACAGCTCTATCAAGAAGACAATGGTCATCGCCATTTTCTGATGGGAAAACAGAGAGTGCCCAGAGTCCCACAGTTAGTGAGTGCTGAGGCAGCCTGCTGACTTCACAAAGAAAGAAACTGGATGATAGTCTGGAGTGTGCTGGGACAGCACTGGACCCACACGCTATCTTCCTGTCCTTTGGGTTTCACTTACTAAATGCCTGCTGTGTGCACACAAGCAGCAGGCAATGACCCTGGAAAAGCTCACAACCTAAGGAGGGGAAGAAGCATGAGTCAGTAAGTACAAAAATATAGAGAAAGGAATTTCAAGGAGTGAGTGATAATGTGAATCAGGAAAAGCCCAAGGAAGAGATAACACAGGAGCTGTGCCCTGAAGGAAGACAGAGGCGAGAAGAACACGCATTCTAGGCATAAGGGACAAGCAGTCAGGCAGCCGAACGCTGTGCACTAGGAACAATCAGCAGACCAATGTAACTGGAACAGAACAAAGAAAAGGAATGGAATGGGAGAAGAGAAAGGGAAGTGAGAGCCTTATTGTGGAAGGCATTAAATGCAAGACTGAGGAGATTGTGTTTGATCCTAGAGGTGATGGGGAGCCGGAGGGTTTCTGCAGGGAGGTGCACAGCCAGATATATGTTTCAAGAATATAAATTGGGCAGCTGTGTGGAAGCTGGATCAGAGAGCAGAGAGCCTGGCAGTGGGGAGAGCAGCTTGGAGGCTGATATAATAGTCAGAACCAGAGTCAAAGCTATGAGTGGTAAGAAGAGATGGATGGGTGGGTGGATGGATGGGCGCATGGATGGATGGATGGATGTATGCATGGACGGATGGGTGGGTACATGGATGGATGGATGCATGGATGGATGGATGGATGGATGCATGGATGGATGGGTGGGTACATGGATGGAGGATGCATGGATGCATGGATGGATGGATGAATGGATGCATGGATGGAGGATGGATGGATAGATGGATGGATGCATGGACAGATACATGGATGGATGGATGGATGCATGCATGCATGCATGGATGGGTGGGTGCATGCATGGGTGCATGGACGGATGGATACATGGGTGGAGGATGCACAGATGCATGGATGGATGGATGGCTGGATGGATAGATACATGGATGGATGGACACATGGATGGATGGACAGACAGATGGATGGAGAGATGCAGAAATGACAAGCCATGGGGGCGAGCTCCAAGGTGGTGAGCCTGGACGACTCAAACAAGCACCAAACCTTTCCTGCCCCTAAGGAACATGTCTGCACCCACAGGTTTCATCAACAGTAACTCAAGAATTTGTGAGGGGGCAGGTTCCAGTGGCAGCACGTTAAGGGTGGAGAGGTCCAGCAAGCAATGCAGAGAGATGGGGAAGTTATCTGCCTAGAAAAGACGGTTTCAGGTGGCTATTTGTTCACATCCCAGGGCAGTGCACGTCTGCTGCTTTGAGCATGGAGGTGAGCACCCTCTCCAGGCCTTTATAGCCAGTTCTTCGGAGTCACCATGGCCAAAAAAATTCATCACTATGGCTTCAAGTATCTCCAGAATCGTGTTGGACTGGTCCGTGGAGTTCATGATCTTCAAGCTTGTGCCCCGCTACAAATGCCACTGAGAACCCAGGGTGGCTAGACTACGGACAGGGCACTAGAGGAGGCTTAACTATCAGACGACTACTAAGGGAGGCAAGGCCTGATCGAGTGGCTTGGAGCCCTGTCTCCATCACTTAGAACTGGGCAACTTGGGCTTAGTCACTGTGCCTTCATTTCCTCCGACGACTTCCAATGCCTTCCATCTCTCTAGCTTGTCCTTTGGGTTTTATAGCTGCTTCCATGTAAAAAGACATTAATAAAATATGATAAAAGCTGAAGGATGCATCCTAACCCAACTGTGACACTTTAATGCTCACCTAAGAGTTCTCATCCAGTCAATGGAAAGAAATCCAAATGGTCCAAGAAAATGACCCCAACTGAAGCATTTGCTGTAGGGAACGGTCTTGGACATTTAGTTTACTTGCTACCTCAAGGCAATCCATGTGCTTTTTGGAGGGTGCCCTCTTCTAAGGGAAGATGCAAACGCAAATCATGTGAGGTCCTCTGCCAAGTGATGCTCAGGATGCCACTTTTGCAATGCGCTACGAAACAAGTCGTTACAGGTGAGCAAGGCAAGCATAGAGTCACAGCAGAGAGATCCTCGACGTGAGAGGAGAACGGGAGGCAACAGATCCCGAGGCCCTCAGGGCCCTGGTTGGGGAATTCATGAGAAAAAGGAGGGGAGACTCACAACATGGAAACAACATGGTGGAATTCTTTAGCTCAAGAAATAGTTCAAATTTCAAAGTACTTCTGCAGATGCAGCTATTGTATCTACTGCAAAGAAAACAACGAAGTCACCCAGAAAATCTCTGCCTGAGCACTCCGGCCTGACCCATACACGTCCCAGAAGACCCAAAAAGCCCCAGTGTTTGTTCTCTGGAATCAGGTCTCCCAGCTGGAAAGGACCTTAGAGGTCTTGGTCCAGTCCTTAGGGTGTCTTATCTAACAGTGGTTGTTCAGTTTACTCCTGATTAGCAGTGTCTGGCACACAGTAGGCACTTAATACATGCTAATTTTCAGCCCTAGCCCTTCCTAAGGGTCTGACCAAAAGTCAGTTTTTCTTTTAGGCTCATTGTCCCCAACTGAAAAATCTTAATGCAGTCATGAATGATATATCTCATGTGTAAGTTTCACTAAAAATGATCGAAAGGGGTTCCTGGCTCCCTCACAAGCACCTAAGGTACCAAATGCACATTGGCTATAGAACAGCTTTTATTTCACCCCACAGGAATAAGAGATACAGAGGACTCACAAAAGCTATTGAACAGAAGCTGAAACCTATAAATAGCCCATCTGCTCCCCCTAAAACATGGGGCTGCACCCTGGTGAAATCTCCCTCTCCTCCACAGGTCACACATAACCCTCCACCCTCCCACGCCCTCCCAAGGCTCCAACATGGTAAATGCGCTTTCAAAGTCGCTACACTGCAAGGAACTGCATGTAGGACACTGCACAGGGACCGTGTAGACCATCTTCTTCTTTCTTCAAGGACAATGTTTGCATCAGGACATCCCCTTCTCTGAACTCCGCACTGAAGGGGTCACACATCCACCTGCCTCTGCCACATGCTTTTGCCCCGGCTGCTATCAAACTTCCTCAAAGGTGTCCAGCAGAAGCAGGGGAGCAGAAGAGGGGACCCTGCCCCCTCCCCTTCCCCACCTGCCCATTCCTGCTACACCAGTATAGCTCCTGGGAGCAAGTGCCAGCGTTCTCACTGAAGCTGGAGCCAGTGTGATGCCTCCTTCCCATGATGCCTCCACAAAGCTCCTCCATGCCTCGGTTTGTACGGGACGCTCTCATGTTTATTAGTTTCTATCACTTCTAAGCAGACCATGTACGTACAGCTGGTCTTTTGTCAATGTTTGTCAAGAGTCAAACGACTTGCTCTATAAAAGGGATTATCAGTCCTTTATTTGGCAATAATAGAAACACATTCATATCTATTATAGGTTGGGGGAGAGACAGAGACAGTCAGTGCAATTTTTCTGCTATGGTGATATTTAATAGTATTTCATTGTTATATAGATGAATGAGAGCCATACTGCACATTTAGGTAAGAAAAGAAAACAGCTCTTGGCATTGGCTAATTTCAATTAATACATAGTTTCCACCAAACAAAACAAGCAATTTTAACAAGAGTTCAGTCATTAAGAACAGATAAAGGATGACACCATTACCAACCATGCTCATCTACAAGGACATTTCCACACTGGTCAAAACAAACCACAAAGTCTTTTTCCAGATCCTGCCAAGTCATGTCATGACTCCAAAGTCTACATTGAAAACTCTTTCCTGATGTTTTTGCAGTCAAAATGCAAAGCCAAATGGGGGAATTCATGCAAATCTTGACTTCCGAGTGTGAAAAGCTATGGAGAAGGCCGCTGACATTTCTCTTCAGCATTCCTACTTCCGAAGCTTAAAGAAATGCTGGTCCTTTGGAGCTGTGCACAGGGTGTGTGCCTAGAAAAATCTGCTAGTTGAATTTTAAACGTATTCCCTTGCTTCTTGGTAACATATGTAACACACGAAAGTGCTACCCTCAAAGAAGAAAAGGTCTGGCCTTTCAAGTGAGTGGGAAATCTATGTGGCTAACCATCCTGGGGAATGGAAAGAGAGGTCAGCACATCACCTCCACACTGACTACTGTCTCCTGCCGAAGACTACTGAAAGAGCCTTTGGCGACCTGCAAACAGGTGTGTCTGATGCAGATCCCATGTTTCCTCTGTAATCAACTCCACAAAAAATGAGCTAGGCTTTGACCCCACAGAGATTTTAGATCATGCGACTAAAATCTGCTTTATCTAATATTGCAAAAGATGCTCTGTGTGTTTCTAATCCAGTTTTAAGGCAAACGGACACAGATATCCATGACTCTTGGGCTCCTCTGCTCTTGTAAACATCCTTTTTCAGAAAGACAGCTCTTCTCCACATTAGGCCAAGATAAGCTCTCTTCCTAGAGGAGAGACCTTTTCCACATGGAAATCCCTGAAATCCTATTTGGTCACTACCATCCCTTTAATTGAAGGCCAAAACAGAAATCCTTGAGTTAGAAGGCAGTTGGTGAGCTGGCCCACTTCCTTCCACAGAAACTGCACTGGAATATGGAAGAGGACAATCCTTGCATAACTAACCAAACACTTGCATATAATTGTCCATTTCTGGAGTAAAAATTCCATAAGAGAGAACACATATATTGAATATGCTTTCAGGGGAACGTAAATATGTATACGCTGGCCAATGAAATTAACTTTCAGGTGTCATAGGGTAACAGCATCGCATTCAATAGTGCAAAACTGATTTCAGACAAATCTTTTGTCAAACATAAAAATACTATACAAAATTTCCCCCCATAGTTTGGTTGCTAAAATAGATGACTACAACAATTATAATAATCATGGAAATAAAATCACATTTCAAAATGTTCAATCAGAAAGTAGAGACACGTTCATAAAGTACAACTCCTTTCTGCCCAAGTTGTAAGGAAAAATAAAAATCAAATAAAACTTCATGGCACAAAGGCTGTAAAGCTAAGTAAGCCCTCCCAATACACAGGAGACTCCAAATCGGAAAATAAAACCTGAAGGAACCATCCATCTTGTCTCTTGGATAACCCCAGGCCAGGTACAGTGGTCACCACCTGAACTTGGGCAAACACACATTCTGACTATCCTAATCCAGAAGTCATTCCTATTATGTCAACACTGGGCAGATTCTCATTTAAAACAATGATGACAATTTTCCTGCTTCGTGCTGACATCTCGATGAAGAGAAACCAGGCACTTTCATCTAAAATGCTGTTTAAAACCACTCTAGGTCACCTAAGAGAGAACTCCTTAGGGCGAACAAAAGACAACTCAGGAGGAAAAGGTTTCCCTCCCTCCGGGGGCTCCTGCCCCTCACCCAGAGCCCCTAACCCAGCTGAAGAAGCCCATGCGCAGAATAGAGCGCAGTGCATTCACTGGTTTATGCATCCATCACATGGATCCTGAAATGACCAAATCGCTTAGGTCGGGAAACACTCTTGGGGTTAAATCTGGAGGGAAAAAACCAGAGTTAAAAAGAAAACTGCCCAAGAGCTAGTGTCTTGCCAGAAGCGATCACGTGCTGGGGCGTGGGAGGTGTCTCCTGTATGGGATCACACAACGCCACATACAATCTGAAATTCCTGGGGACATCCCACTGAAGCTGAGCTCATGAAGGGGCAATTTCAATGAGAGAAGAAGAGGGGAAGAAAGCCTTCCAAGTCCTCTCTGCCAGAGAGACGGAGGGTCTTTGCCTCTTGATTGTAACCTACAGAATCAGAAGCAGGCCTGACCAAGAAACCTTCCACTGTGACCCCAAAGGGTGGATTCTTGGAAACGGATCACACAGACACTGAGGAGCCACAGCAATTTTTCTGATAAAATGACATAGACAATGATACAAACAGCACACATCAGACATCGCTACTGCCTAAACGGTGGACATTTCTATTTCCTGCATTATTTAATTGGGCTTCAGTACAAAAGGAGATGGCTGATATGCACAGATGCATTTTCAAGGCAAAGTGAAATACACTGTCACTGAGATGTAACCTAATGAATGAACAGTGTGCCACATGGGAAAAACAGGGAAGCTGGGGGTGCCCTTGGTCAGAGCAGTGACCTGCTGGGTGCTACGTGCCAAGGCAAGGCTTTTGAGAATGTTTACTCAACAGTTCACACCAGAGTCCTCCAAAGGGTCAGTCAATCACCTCCATGGAACAAGGATGAACTTCAATCACAAGCAACAATTGTGAAAAACACACATTTTGGAAATGAGGTTTTCTAGGGATTATGGCCCTGTTGAAGGTACGTCCAGCCTGATCATCCTTTCGTCCGTCCGTCCACCCATTCGTCCCTCGATACTTCACCCCCATGGCCTGGCCCCTCACTGGACTCTGGCTTCCACCAGACCGCTGGACATGGTGTGGCTATGACCACTCACACAGCTGCTTGTGTGTCTCAGGGTGTCCGTACCCAGGTACGCCATCAAAAGCTCGGTGCGGCCCATCAGCAGCTGCATAAGGTCCTCGGCCAGGGTCTCCATGCTGGAATAGCGGACCTTCTCCAAATCAAAGATGTCTTTGAGAAAATAGAGGACTTGGTCCTGCAGACAAAACAGGAAAGCGGGGGTTTATGGAGAGGGCCTGTGCCACCACTGCTTCAACCCAGAGAGATCGCCCATTCTGAATGATAACGAATCACAAAGAATATACCTTAGGGACACAAAACCAAAAACAAACGGAGGGCTAGCCTTAATAAATAAAAGGTATCTGGTCTATTTAAGCTAAAATTAAAATTCTGAGCCATGAACCCAGCCCTGAAGCAGGAATTGTGCACACACACAGTGGGGAAAGCGCCCCTGAGACCTCTGCATCCCTCATCTGAGGCACAGGACAGGAACTGAAGGCGCATGTAGGAGGAAGAGCAAATCCTGGGCAGGGATGGCCTCTACGGCCACGTGCAGTGCGCGCGCCTCATCAGCTCTCAGGGGCCACCCTTCTGTCTTCTGGATTACTGTCACTGCTCTTTGAAACAGAATGGGACCCAAATCACAAGACCCCAAATTAAAAAGTCCTGCCCCAACCCCCATACTGTATAATACCAAAAGCAAGTCGTTTTCTAACATGGCGGGAACAGGCAAGAACATGCCCCCATTACAAGTGAAAAGGTGAAAATGACCACTGTTTCCGAGACCACCTCAAGTGCAGGAAGAATAATAAACCTTTATCAGTAACAGCTCATCTCGATGTAACGCTCTAAGGGGTGCAATAAATGCTATGTATATTATTTTGGGGGCCTCACAACCAACTCTTATTACAGAGGAGGAAACTGAGGCAGACAGGGTCACACTGTGAGGAAGTGTTTGAGACAGGCTTTGAACTCAGGTCTCTCTGACTCTGGGCACTGTGGCACCGCCTAGCTGCCTTCATGTCCTAGGCCCTGTGTGCAAGGAACTGGGGGTACAAGGGAAGAGAGCACACAGAGCCTCCCATCCAGGAATTGATCATCTAAGACAAGGCAGGAAAAATAACACACAAGGAAAAGTGTATTAAGAGTAGAAGAAAAAAATGGGGCAGAACACTATAGGCACTTGAGAGCCCAGAGCAGACAAAACTGGCCCATGGCTTGAAATGTAGATAGAACTCCCCTTGACAGTGCATCTTAGGCTTCGAATAAAGCACACACACCATCTGCATGTGTCTTCATTTGGAACACATATAATTTTTAAAAGCTGCCCATACCTTAAAGAAGCAACATAAATCATAGAGGGAGTTTCTTGGACCCAAAAAGCCCCAGGCTAATACTGGACTGACGTGCTCACAAATGGCATAGAAGTGAGCAAAGAACCCATCAGGAATCTGTTGGCAAAGGAAGGAGAACAAAGTTAGCAAACTGGGTCATTAAACCGTCGATGGAGGTTTGCCAGGCACCAAGGGACAAGGACAAAAGTAAGACAAGGGAACGTTTGTTCAGACAGAAATCAAAAGTCAACAAAAACTGAGTCCAAAAGGTCAAATGATCAAGAGCAACCTAAATATTTGGAAAGATGCTAACTGCTTATGGTTGGCCCCTACCAATAAAATGAAAGTAATAATACTACCTAAATTAATTGATTTATTTGCTGCCCTACAACCAAACTACAAAAGATTACTTTAAAAATCTAGAAAAGGTAACAAAATTCATCTGCAACACCAAAAATTCAAGAATCTCAAAGGAAATTAGAAAAGTAGGAAAGAAGCGGGCCAGGCAGCAGTACACTTCAAACTGTAAAACAAAGGAATAATGTTAAAACAACAAAAGTTGATCAGTGGAACCAGCAAGGCACCCGACGTTTGTAACAAAACAGAGTACAAAAACATTCAATAAACTAAAAGGCCCTAACTCCTGGGAAAAGGCTCACTACTCGAGAAAAACTGCTGGAAAACTTTGTCAAGCTTCCACCACTATCTCACAGCACACACCGAGATAAAGTCCAGATGGACACAACTTAAATATAAATAGTTCAAAAAGCAAAGAAGGAAACAGCTTTTGCAACTATGGAAAGGTGAAATATGGATGACCAAACAAGTAATAAAGACCATCACAGAAGATGAAATGGACATTTTATGATAACGGCAATCATTTCCCAGTAGACAAATGACCAAAGGGTGTGAATAGGCACAGGCAGCTCTGTTCCAAAGGAAGAAAACAAAACTATCTTCAGCAATTTGAAAAAAAAATGCTCCAAATCATTAAGAATTAGAGAAACATACATTAAAACAACTCAAAATTTCCATTTCACACTTAATCAGACTGTCAGAGATGACAGCTGCTAGAGGAGACATGCAGAGACAGGAACACCAAGGCAGGAAGGAGGTGGGAGCTGGTCCAATCATTCTGGAAGGCACCAACCTGTGCACGCCCTCTGCCCCAGGACTACCCCACGACCAGACCCATCATATGGACAAACACACTCACAGACCCGGAGATTAAACGGATGTCTATCTACAAGGGAGAGGGTTAGGGATGCTGTCAGTCGTCCACTCACGTCTGGCTCTTCGTGACCCCACGGACCGTAGTCTGTCTCCGTCTGTCCAAGCTCATGTTCATTGTTTCCATGACACCATCCATCCATCTCATCCTCTGCCGTCCCCTTTTCCCTTTGCCTTCAATCTTTCTCAATATCATTTTCCAAAGAATCCTGTCTTCTCGGCCAAAGCATTTAAGCTACAGTTTCATTATTTGACCTTCCAGTGAATAGCCTGAATTAATCTCTTTTAAGTATTGACTGATTTAATCTCCTTGCTGTCCAAGGGACTCTTACAAGGCTTCTCCGGCACCACAATTCGAAAGCGTAGATTCTGCGGCACTCAGTTCCTCATAGTCCAAGTCTCACAACCACACACTGCTACTGGAAAAACATAGCTTTGACTATGCAGACCTTTGCTGGTGAGGTGACATTTCTGCTTTTTAGTCTGCTGTCCATGTTTTCCAAAGTTTTCCTTCTAAGGAGCCAATGTCTTTTTATTTGTTTTTTTTGCTAGACAATGGAGTTAAGTGACTTGCCCAAGGTCACACAGCTAGTAAGTGTCAAGTGTCTGAGGCTGTATTTGAACACGGGTCCTCCTCACTCCAGAGCCGGTGCTCTGTCCGCTGTGCCACCCAGCTGCCTCAGAGCCAATGTCTTTTAATTTCATGACTGCAGTCGCTGTCTGCAATGACCTGTAAGCCCAAGAATCTCCCACTGCTTCCACTTCTTCTCCCTCTAGTTGCCAGGAAGACTATGGGACCAGTTGCCAAGATCTTAGTTTTTTCAATGTTAAGGTTCGAGCCAGCTTTTACTCTCTCCTGTTTCACCCTCAAGAGGCTTCTTAACTGCTCTTCACTTTCTGCCATCAGAGTGGCAGCATCTGCATATCTGAGATTGTTGATACTTCTCCTGGTGACCTTAATCATGGCTTTTGATTCATCCAGCCTGACATTTTCACACGATGTACTCTGCATCTAAGTTAAATAAATAAGGCGACAACATACAGCCTTGGCATACTCCTTTTCTAATCTTAAACCAATCAGTTGTTCCATGTTCGGTTCGCTTCTTGGCCTGCACATGGGGTCCTCAGGAGACAAGTGAGATGAGCTGGCACTCCCATCTCTTTGAGGACTTGACACATTTTGTTGTGATCCACACAGTCAAAGGCTTTAGTGTACTCAAGGATGCAGAAATAGATGTTTCTGGTTTGTTTGTTTTTCTGAAACTCCATAATCCAGCGAATGTTGGCAATTTGGCCCCCGCTTCCTCTGCCTCTTTGAAAACCAGCCTGCCCTTCTGGTAATCTCAGTTCACATATTGCTGAAGCCTAGCTTGCAGAAGTTCAAGCATAACCTTGCTGGACTGTGAAATGAGCACTACTGTTCAGCAATCCGTGCATCCTTTAGTATTGCCCTTTTCTAGGATGGGGGTGTATCTGATCTTTTCCAATCCAGCGGCCACTGCTGAATCTTCCAAACTTGCTGGCGTATTGAGTGCAGTACTTTAACAGCATCACCTTTGAGGATTTTAAGTAAAAAGCTCAGCAATTCCATCCCCTCCACTAGCCTTATTGTTAGCAGTGCTTCCTGAGGCCCACTTAACTTCAGTCTCTGAGATGTCCAGCTCTAGATCAGCAACCACACCGTCGTGGCCTTATGTGATCAGTGATGTTAAGATTTTTCTAGTATAATTCTCCCATACATTCTCGTCACCTCTCTTAATCTCTTCTACTTTGGTTAAGTCCCTACCATTTTTCATCTTCTATCATGTCCAGTTTTGCATGAAACATTCCCTTGATATCTCTGATCTTCTTGAAGAGATCTCTTGTCTTCCCCATTCTATTGTTTTCTTCTATTTCTTTGCATTTCTCATTAAAAACAACAACCACCTCTCCTTTCCTCCCGCTATTTTCTGGAATTCTGCATCCAGTTGAGTATGTCTTTCCCTTTCTCCTTTCCTTGTTTCCTCAGCTATTGGTAAAGCCTCATCAGGTGCCATCTTGCTTTCATGCTCTTCCATTTCTTTGGGATGTTTTTTGTTGCTGTCTCCCATACAGTATTTTCAACCTCTGTCCACAGGTCTTTAGGCACTCTATCTACCAAATCTATGACCCTCTTTCTTTTCTTTTTTGGCTAGGGATAATGTTACCCAAAAGAAAAACAGAAAGAAAAAAGGGTCCTTAAAGCATTTAAAAGAAAATGAACACCAAAAAGAAAAAAAGAAAAGGAAGCTCAGAAGGAAAGTCAGACAAGTAGAATTGATTTCTTTTTATTTCTTCTAATACAAAGTCATCTATATGGTAATACCTTTTGTCATATGCCCCAGATCCACGAAACGTTGTGTTTTCATTACTACTTAAGCAAGTGATTACAGTTCGTCTGCACAGTGAGCGAGGGTTCACACGCATCCTTTTATACTGCTGGATTCTGTTGCTGAAGACATGTCGCGCCTTCCTTCTGTGAAGCTAGGCATACAGTCTGTTCTCATTTGTCAGGAGAACTGTGAGGAGTAAACTCTGTGGACCCTGACAATCCAAAGCTCAGCCTGCACAGAAGGGCAGATGGGCAAACTGACCGAAGGGCAAAGACAGCCGTGCCTGAGAAGGGGGAGTTGGGCAGTCCGGCAGAGCCTGGGGACCCCTGCTCAGAATCATGTTTGCAAATGCATAGGGTCAAAAGGGAGCTAATCACATTGGAAGAGTGGATCCAAATATGAAAAAAGACACAAGCTTGTGGACAATGGGTCAAGAACCCCTGATTCAATGCTTGCTAAGGGCTAGGGAGCTGGGGCGATAAAGAAGAAAGGAATCAGTCTCTGCCCTCAATAAACTCCCCCTCTAGTGTGTGGGTGCTGGGGGAGGGGGCGGGATATCCAGAGGGAGAGAACACTCACACCCGAGGGGCCCAAGAAGGGCCTGAGCTAGGCAAAGGCCCCGAGAGAGGACACTGTGCGCTGGGTCCTGAGAAAAGCTGGGACAGCCGAGGGTGGGCAGCAGAAGGTGAGTCGCCCAGAGTTATGGGTTGATGCACCAGAGTCTGCAGGATGGCCATAGGAAGTCGGCGTGGCCTCCTCTCTCTCGGACTTCTTGGTTGGCAGGTCTAAACCCTGGAGGCCACGGATGTCATCACTGGCTTCTGTCCTGCCTCATCTGCCTCCCGCCTTGAGTTCCTCCCCCCCCCCCCCCCCCTCCTCCCCCCCCCCTCCCCCCTCCCCCTCCTTATTCTCCTCTCCTTCCTCTTCCCTTCCTCTCCTTCCTCCTCCTCCTCCCCCTCCTCCTTCCTCTCCCCTTCCTCTCCCTTCCTCCTCCCCCTCCTTATCTTCCTCTTCCTTCTCCTCCCCCCTCCTCTTCCTGCCCATTCTTTAGCACCTACTTCTTTGGACTCTGGTCCCTGTCTTCAGCCTCCTCCACCCTACAGGCTGCAGCGGCTGCTCTTCAGCTAAGATGACTCATCTTCGTGCCACTTGTGACCCTTCATTCATCGCTGCCTTCTTGGGCATGGGGTGGTGGCCCGTTAGACTGTAGGCCCCGCAGGGGAGGGGCTGTCTTTCTTTTCTGTGCTTGTGCTTGGCAGGCACAGTCTTCCTTCCCAGCTGGGGCTGCCTGCCACATGGGTTTCTCGGCAGGGGTGGCAACAACCATCTCTTTGGCTGGAGGTGTGTCCTTTGCAGAGGGAGCCCTGGCCTTCCTGATGTCCTCGTGTGGGGCCTCAGTCTCCTCTTCATCTGTGACAAGGGAGTAGTTTCCTTTGGCTGACCTTCTCCTGGGTCACCACAAAGGCAGCATGTGAACGATCGTAGCGTGCCAATTTTGAAGAAGAAAGAAGATGGAAATCATTTTCTGGCTAGCTGGGGAGTAGTGAGTAGGATGAACCAAAAATTATGGCATCTGCCACTAAGAAAGACCCATGCTCCTCGTCATTTTCCTTCACTCCACATCCCCAATGACTGGTACGGTGACTAGTACACAGTAGGTACGTTAGTAAGAGTCAGCCCAGAAGACGGCCTGTACCATAAAGCCCAGAATCTCAGAACCGGAAGAGACATCGACAGCGCCCAGGCCAATCCTTAGTTGATGGAGACTCCCCCAAACAATTGCCCCAACAAGAGGTCACCCAGCCTTTGCTGGAAAATCCCAACTAAGCACATCACACTGCAGGGAAGTTCTTCCCTTTCATCAGTATCATCATGATCAGTAGCCATGTAACCATGTGCTATTGCTTGATAATCACTCTGGGTTTGCTTTGTGCCTTAATCAGCTATTAAGTCATCTTTTTAGAGTACTGGTAAATACTCATTAAAACAAATAATGGATATCACTGGTAACTGGTCCTTCTACAGTGCCTTCAGGGCCAAGAAGCTCTCTCTCTCTCTCTCTCTCTCTGTGATCTCATCTGAGCCTCCCAACCACGTGCAATAGTATGGAAGAGCAAAGAGTCTCAGATTGTGGTCACTCAGCCCCTACCACAGGCACGTGGCCACAAGGCTGCTCTCAGGCCCACATCCAGCCTGACTTGGCCACTCCCAGCCATTCTCCTGGTCAACCTCACTGCACCAACAAGAGCAAATCCAATTCCCCTCCAAAGGCTGGGGGACAGTGATGAGATCCCCTCCAGCCATTCTTCACTCTAGGCTCAGCAGTCGGGTTCTTTTAACTCATCTTCACAGAGAATGGACCTGAGAGGTCCTTCTGGTCCCTCTGCAACTTGCCAATACCCTTCCTAAGGTGCGGTGGCTCCCACCAAACAAGACTCAGCAGGATGAGCACCGCTCTCACCTCCCTTACCACCATCTTGGCCGCCATATTGGCTGACAGGCATGCGAACACCCAGAACTTTGTTAGACAAGCTTCTGTTTGACCGCATCTCCCCTGTCTTGTACTTGGATTAAGAAAAATCAAGTTTTCAAGCATCACATTCGCCACTTATCCTTCTGACATTCCATTGACCAGAACTGGCCTGATGTTCCAGACAGCCAAGATCTCCCTCTGAGCTGTGTCATACCCGTAAAATTAGCAGGTGCATCATGGAGGCCATTGTCCATGTCACTGACAAAAATATAAAGGAGTTCTTCACTGTGCATTAACGTGGCATCGAAAGTCTCATTTCCTTGATGGACAGACTTGTCTTGAACAGTGATCGAGGGCAGAAAAAGAGCAGGGGCCGGATGCCCACAAACTGGGTAGCTAGACGTTAGTTCATTTTGGTGAGCTGGTGAGATTCAAGCCTATGGTGCTTTCTTGAAAGCTCCTCTTGAAAAACCCCAGCAAACTCTTAGAGCAGAAGAGGTTCTCCCGCCCTGGCCTGAAGGTGCTCGTAGCAACACGCCACCTCCTCACTGGCCAGCCTGCAGGACTCTGAGTGACCCCTCGTCTGTAAAATGAAGGGTGTGATCCCGAGGCCCTCTTCTTAGTCCTGAGGCCTATGATGAGATCAACCACTGTCCTCGGTCCTTGGGAAGAGAGATTCAAGTTCAGCAGAGACAGGAGGAAGCCCCCCAGATCCACCGCTGGAGACAGTCTGGAGAGCTGTGGATGCTTAGGGTTTCCCTCCAGATGTCCCTCACCCTACATCATGTCTCTTTGAAAGGAGGGCCACCTTGGCCTCCCTACACAATGGCCTTACCATCACCTCCTGTCTGGTGAAGCTTAAAATCAGAACACCCAGGGGAGGGGCGGGGCGCCTGCTCTCCCCTTTACACCTCAGAGCTTGGCTTAGAGTGAGACTGACTGTTGCTCCCACTATGCGGGAGCATAGTGAAGAGGACGCTGCTGAAGAGGACACAGTCATGACACTAAGATAATTTTAAAAAAAAATGAGAACCAGGCCCCCCCATCACACAAAAGGCACTTACCTTCATCTGCTGCCTCTTCTGCTTGAGCACTGACCAGCAGCTGGACGCCACGGCCTATATATGCACAGGGAAGAGAAAGGCCGAGGTGAAGGGGGCATGCGTGTGCCACCTGCCCTCAGCCTCCAGGGCCTCAGGGTCTTCCTTCATGGAATTCAAGGTTATGCCTTTAAAAGGCGAACACACTGACTGCCAATGACAAGCACAAAGCACTCACACTCCTTTGTGTTATTCTCAAACAACAGATTTTTTTTTGTTTCTATACCAAATTTCTTTTTTTTTATTAATTTATTTTGATTTATCAATAATCACTTCCATATGCTTTTGAGTTTAAAATTTTTCTCCCCCTTCCTCCCCACCACCCTCCCCAAGATGGCGCACAATCTGATACAGGCTATACATTTACATTCATATTAAACATATTTTCACATTAGTGATGTTGTAAGTAAAAATTAAAACCAATAGGAGGAACCATCAGAAAGAGGAAACAAAACTCAACAGGAGAGAAAAAAAATAGTAATTTGACTTCCATAGTTCTCTCTTTGGATGTGGATAGCATTTTTCATCACAAGGCCTCTGGAGATGTCTTAGATCCTTGTATTGCTGGGAAGGGTTAAGTTTGTCAATATTAGTCATCACACAATGTGGCTGTTATTGTGTACAACGTTCTCTTGGTTCTGCTCACTTCACTCAGCATCAGACCATACAAGTCTTTCCAGGTTTTTCTGAAGTCAGCCTGTTCATCATTTCTTATAGCACAATAGTATTCCTTCACATTCATATACCACAACTTGCTCAGCCATTCCCCAATTGATGGGCATCCCCTCCATTTCCAATTCTTTGCCACCACAAAAAGAGCTGCTATGAATATTTTTGTACATGTAGGTCCTTTTCCCGTTTGTGTGATCTCTTTGGGACATAGCCCTAGAAATGCTATTGCTGGATCAAAGGATATGCACATTTTTATAGCCCTTTGGGCAAAACTCCAAACTGCTCTCCAAAATGGTTGGATCATTTCACAACTCCACCAACAAACAACAGATTTTTTTAAAAAAATGAAATACAATGGTAGAACTAGGTACAGACCAAAATCTTATACCATATACCATGATTTATACATGATTTAGATATAAAGGCTGATAACTATGAGCAAACTGGAAGAGCAAAGAATAGTTTACCTGTCAGGTTTATGGAGAAGGGAAGAATTCATGACCAAGCAGGAGATAGAAAACATTATGAAATGCAAAATGGATAATTTGATTACATTAAATTGAAAAGTTTATGCACGAACAAAGCCAATGCAACTAAGACTAGGAGGGAAGCAGAAAATTGGGAAAGAATTTTTACAATCACCACCTCTGAGAAGGGCCTCATTTCTAAAATATATAGAGAACTAAGTCAAATTTATAAGAATACAAGTCATTCCCCAATTGATAAATGGTCAAAGGACATGAACAGGCAGTTTTCAGAAGAAGAAATTAAAGTTATCTATAGTCACATGAAAAAATGCTCTAAATCACTATTGATGAGAGAAATGCAAATCAAAACAACTCTGAGGTACCACATCACACCTATCAGACTGGCCAACATGACAAAACAGGAAAATGATAAATGTTGGAGAAGATGTGGGAAAATTGGAACACTAATGCACTGTTGGTGGAGTTGTGAACTGATCCAACCATTCTGGAGAGCAATTTGGAACTATGCCCAAAGGACTATAAAAATGTGCATACCCTTTGACCCAGCAATACCACTACTAAGTCTGTATCCCAAAGAGGAAATAAAAATGGGAAAAGGACCTATATGTACAAAAATATTTAAAGCAGCTCTTTCTATGGTGGCAAAGAATTGGAAATTGAGAGGATGACCATCCATTGGAGAATGGCTGAACAAGTTGTGGTATATGAATGTAATGGAACACTATTGTGCTATAAGAAATGATAAGCAGGCAGACTTCAGAAAAACCTGGAAAGACTTGTATGGACTGATGCAGAGTGAAGTGAGCAGAACCAGGAGAACGTTGTACACAGTAACAGCCACACTGTGCAATGACTAACTTTGGTGGATTTAGCCCTTCTCAGCAATGCAAGGATCTAAGACATCTCCAAAAGTCTCATGATGGAAAATGCTATCCATATCCAAAGAAAGAACTATGGAGTCTGAATGCAGATTGAAGCATATTATTTGCTCTTTCTTTTTTTGTCTGTTTTGTTTTGTTTTCTCTTTCTTGTGGTTCCTCCTATTGGTTCTAATTCTTCCTTATAACCTGACTAAAGTGAAAATATGTTTAATAGGAATGTATATTGAAGGGCCTATATCAGAGTGTACCCACCTTGGGGAAGGAGGCAGGGAGGGAGGGGGAGAAAATTTAAAACTCAAAAGCTTATGGAAGTGATTGCTGAAAACTAAAAATAAATTAATTTTTAAAAATAAGAAAAAAATAAAATAAATAAAAATTTATAAATAATATATAGAATAATAAATAATTAATTAATAATAAATAAATATAATAAAAATTAAATACAAGAATCAACCAGCAAAACTGGGCAGCATGTATTGCCAAGGCTCCCCTAGTTGCTGAGCATAGGCCCTCTCGCACTCAAAGCTAAAGTGCATCAAACTCCTCAAACAGAAGCTAAAAATACACACAGAAAAGACCCTGGACACTATGTAATCTGGGGTTTCTCCTAAAGAAATAGTTTGGGGCCCTGCTACCGGTTTTATCCAAATAAGGACCTAAGAAATATAACATAACATTGGAATCCCCCAAGCCCAGGCTCCTGTGTCTACAGCTCTAAGGTCACTGTACCCTATCAACTAGAGAAATGAGTGAGAATGACTTCTTATAAGACAAGGTCATACTAACTAGAGAAAATCAGAATTCAATGAATTAAAGGAAGAGGCAGACGATGATAAACCACACGAGTCATCGCTCCGAGGTCCGAGATCCTCATCAGGGCCCCTCACCAAGCTCCTCCTCTGACGCCTGGCGTGGGGGTGACCCAGGGCCCCAGGAAGCGGGCGGAGAGGGCACGGCACGATGCACCCAAAGCAAGCACCAAGTAAATAGAGCTGAAGTCATTTTGTGTGTCCCTTCAGGTCCTTTAACATGGGTCTACTTGAGCCTGAAAATGCTTTCTTTTCAATGGTTCAGTTCGCTGGGCGTGAGTCAGTCTTTGTCCCCAGAGGGCAGGGCTCTCATGGCGCCACACCTACGGAGTCCTTGCTGGGGCTACATGGAGCTCCTAGAAAGCAAACTTTCTCCTCCCAGGGGACCCCTCCACACCAACCTATTTATATAATGGACTTTTATCTTCAAGTTCAAACAGCAGATTCTGCTTATTTCACTTATTTCACTTCAGCTCATACAAGTTTTCCCAGGTTTCTCTAAAACTGTCCCTCACTAGTTTGAGGAAGAGAAAAAAAAAGTTTGTTAATTGAAAAAAAATCTGATTTTTACAAAAAAAAGGCTTAGGGGAAGGTGGAGACTAAGAGCTTCCCATTTTCACAGCCCACAAGGACCTCACAAAAGAAGTCAACCACCACTTACAGTTTCTTTAAAGGAGGAGTTCAGCCAGCGATTGTTGACGACATTCTGTATAGATGTGGGTGGGTTTTCTAAATCTTCAAAGGAGTCCATTAATATAAAATCCAGGACAATGTCATAAAAATTTAGATTTTTCACCTGCATGAAATGAGAAAAAATGCACACACACGATTATTTATTAGCGCCTGGACTGGAAAAAAGAATGAATCCAGACTCTACTCATGAAAAGAAATACACTGACTGAGTCATCGGGTCCACAAGGAACCACCAGGAGGAAGAATTGCTGGCTCAGATTCTGTCTACACCCAGGCACCTTTCCCATGGCCCCCACGCTTGGCCTCCAGAGGAGCCAAGGGGGCATTCTGGAACTTTGCTTTGGGCAGCTCAGAGGCTGGAGGAGGAAGTGAATGAAAACAAGTGAGACTCACCCCCCTCGCGGCCAGCTCCACCTCAGTGCTCTCCCAGTGGTCTGTTTGCTCTAAAAAATAGATCATTTCATCAAAAACATCTTCAAATTTCTTTGGATTCTGTAGGATATCATCAGCAAACAAGAAGAAGATGACATGTTTTAATTCTAAGCATGCTTCTTGAAACAAGCTTCAGGCCTGCCAAGTCTAAGCTGCCCTCTGGACAGGGACTGCTAAGGTTCCAGGAGTCCTGTCTAGTGGACAACAGGCTCTGCTCAAAGGTCGCAAAGGAGGCCAAAGGAAATGAGCAGTAACTGCTCCCTGAGCTTATGTGGCCAATGGGCACACAGGTTGAATGGAAAACCGGACAATAACCTCTGCTGGTTCTGGGCCCCACATCAGGCCAGCAGGCTGCGACCACCCCAGGAACCATAATCAACACTTAGGGAATGGCACATTTCCTATCACCTTGGCCTATCCCTTGATTCTGACATCAGAGAAGCTCGTTCTCCAAAACCTACCTCCTTGGCCCAACATGAGGGGGAGGAAAAAGAGTAAATTTGAATTCCAAAATTTCTGAGATCCTAGCTACCATCGCCAACCCTCCCCCTTGTCTTCCAAAGACCATGGCGGCAGCAGCTTCAATGATCACTGAACCCTGGGAGGGCTACCCAAGACTCCAGGGCCAACAGGCTGTGGTGACCCTTCCAAGGGAACCTGAGAACTAAGGGACACAGTCAGAATGAGGAGTTGGACTGAGGCTGTTTGCATGGGCATGGATTTATTTGTACACATGCTATCCCCCAGTAGAACACACACTCCTGGAGGCAGGGGCTGTTTCATTTTGCCTCTGGACACCCAGTGCCCAGGTCAGTCACACACATGTCTCACACACACACACACACAGGCACACACGCATGCACAAAACAATTAGAATCCCCTAGAACAATCAATCCTTCCTTTCTTCAAGAACTGTAATGTGTTTTAATTTCTGACTGAATAACAACTTTGTTAACAAAATCGGGTTTACCTTTCTTGCCTTCACAATTAAAGCTGATAAAATTTTTCTTCCACTCTCAGCAAGAAATGTCCTGTTGGCTGTTTCTGAAAGAATGACCTGCAAGAGTCCCACCCCCCCCGCCCCCCCCAAGACCTGAAGTGACTGATTGACATAACAGGGAAGGAGAAAGGGAAGTTAAAGTGAGGGTACATGAGTGAGCAACCCAGATCCAAGGGCTTAGTGCAGACAGGAGGCATGGCACCAGGTGCCCCAGCTCATGAGGACTGGTGCCGGGGCCCTCCCTCTTCTTCAGGAGCCTGGCTGGGCTCACACTCGAGGCCTGCAAAGTGCCTCGGACACACACGCACCAGTCCCAGAGATGTGGGGACTGGAGCTCAAGCCACTGCTAAGTGTCAGAGGTCAGCACGGCCTGGTGGCAAAACAGCCACCTCTGGGCCAAGGCAGGACTGGCTGGGCTAACCACCCCCGGGGCTCCCTGTGGCCGGGGGTCTACTTCCTGGCTCTGTCCACGGGTTACAGGCTCTCTGAAAGCAAAGTGAAATGAACAGGACTAAGCACAGGGACAGGACAGAGCTGGGAAAGTCATTTACCTGGAAAGCCTGTCGGATACAGTGAAGCTTGGCAAGAAAGTCGCTGTCTCCAAGGCACTCCAACATTTCAGTTCTACAGAAAACAAGGGCCAAAAATGAAGCTATTTTCAGGATAGAGCCTAATATGAATCTGGAATTAGACCAGACCTGAACTCAGGCTGGTAATGAGAAACACATGTCTTTTCATTACTGACAAAGTCAAGATTAGATGTCTTGAAATGAACGTCTTGATAAGAAGCAATTTAGTTGGGCAAAGCCTCCTATTTCTCCGTCTTCTCATGAACATTTTTAGCAAAGATTACAAAAACAGCCACAGACGGCACATTTTCCAGAGACATAAGTAAAGTAAAACAGAAACAGTACCTAAGGACCCTGGAGTAAATTTTCCCCTCTTCGACCAAGTGCATGGCTTCTTCGTACAGTGGGCAGTGGCAGAGAGGGTCCAGGCTGTACGCATGTCGCCCCTCCCGGTGTTCTGTGAGCTAAGGAGATAGGCGGGGTAGTGACAGAACACGAAGCTGGTCACACGAAGCAAAACCAACAAGGATTTCAAACACTCTCCCCCCAAAACAAGGCGGACTTGGCCGAAATGATTCAAAAGAGCATTCAGCATTATACATATTTGATTTCAAGATGGCGCTCTGAAGGAGCCAAGCTTCCTGAGAGTTCAAGCTGGGTTTATCCATGAACTACAAAGAAAAGCCTCAGGGGAAGAAGCTGCTGGAGGAATGAAACCAATGCAGCTCATTCCCCAAAGATAAGTAAGCAGCAAAAGCTGAACAAGAGTCGTCAAAACAAGTACAAACCATTAAAAACCAAATTGGAGAATGTGCCAGGTCACTTAATGAGAAAGACAAATGAAAACTACTAGAGAGGCGGTTGCCTCTCAGCAGACAAATCAGTGCTGGGGGGAGGGATGGGGGTTAATCTAGAAATCCACACCCTCAGACTGGACAGAGAACCCCAAAGAAGTCAACAGTGATGGACAATACGTCGACAATGTTTGTGTGTAAGAGTCAAGAGAGCCAGGGCCACAGCACAAGAGCAAGGATTCCCAGGAACACCACACAAAGGGCAGCCCTGACGCAGTGATGATGCAGTGAGGAGCCGCGGACGAGGGGCCAGGAGTGCAGCATTCACCATTAGATGTTGGGGACGCCCAGGTCAGCTCTGCCAGAGCACCTTCCCTTTTCTTTCCGTCTTTCTGTTCCTCACCACACAGAGCTCAAGCCCTTTCCACCCTTTCCAGCTGTACCTTGGGCTCCATTTCTTCCCACCCTAGGGACTTGGAACACTTGCCTTCTTATTTAAACTGTCAAAGCTCATTACAAATGATTCCAACTGAGTAAAGACAAAGTCAAAAGCAAACTGAGTTTTGCCTGGGGGATCCCTCCAGGACCTGTGGCTTCACGGGGGCGAACAGCACCTTCCCATGACATATTCCCAAGCTGGCACTTGTGGCCCATAGACTAAAGCTGGAAGGGAGCTGAGACATTCTCTCCCTTATGATCTGAGGCCCCAGGAGGGGAGCTGAGCTGCAGTTAGGCGTCTCTCCGAGCTCTTTAAAGCTGACCTATCTCCCCTGTTAAAGTGTCAGGGGCCAAAGCAAAGGAAAATGCCTCTGCCCCTTCCTTCAGAGCCTCAGTGTGAGAGAAAGGGCCACGCTGGCCACATTGCCTCCCCAGCATGCACTCAGTAAACGCCTGGCCACTTGATGACTGGTCAGAGCCTGCACTTTCCTGGAGCCATCTGGAGAAGACAAGGTCACCAATCCCTGACAAGGCAGGGGGAATAAGTAGGTGCACAAGATACGTATAATTTTATTTTTACTTTAAGCCAGTTTTGGGGGGAGTTGCTTCTAGGACTTTGTGCTGCTGTCACCGTACCCAATATGTCTATGGATCTACTACAGGGGGAGCAGGTGCTCTCAGGAAGGAAACCTCGGGACTCAAAACGAATCCAAAGCAGAAAGGCCCCGAGGGGAGCACTGAGTTCTGTCGTGAGCTCATTTCTAGGCTGGTCAGAGAGACTTGGCTCAATAAAACAGACTTGCACCCATGGACACAGCCGCATGGACACTCTGATCCCAGGCAAAGAGGACTTCAGCTGCCTGTCATTTTAAGGAGAAAAGGAAAGCCCTCATCATGGGCACCAAACACATGTCCTCAACTCTGCTGTGGGTGTCTTGGAAAAGGCGGCAGGAAAATGGTGACACTTTCTTGGGTGAGGAGATGGAAGGAGCGTCCAAGGTCACCGAATGGAACAATCCCCTTTTCCAGAGAAGGAAACTCAGGCCCCATGTCTGACAAACTTCCACTGACTTCCTAAGAGTATATGAAGAAAGATGGACATGCCGGCAGAGACGTCAGTCTAGAAAGCATTTTGCCATTTGTTCTTGAGCAGAAATAGTACTTTACGCTTTGTTATTGTTATCTAGCCCTGTTAGTCACGTCTGACTCTCTGGGACCCTATTTGGGGTTTTCTTGGCAGAGACACTGGAGTGGTTCCAGATCATTTTAGAGAGGAGGAAACTGAGGCAGAGGGTGAAGTGACCTGTCCAGGGTCACCCAGCTAGGAAGTATCTGAGGCAGGATCTGAACTCAGGGTGATGAGTCTTCCCGACTCCAGGCCCGGCTGGTGCTCTGCACCAGCTACCTGCTCAATTCATGTTGGCTTTATCCTTTAAAACGATCTGCCTTCTGAAAAGGAGCACAACCAGCATGCTCATTGTAAAACGTGTATGGTGCAGATCCTTCTGTATTTTATCAACGCCACGAAAGCAGCCATCCTAAAGGGACAGACTGAACCACTGGGCTCCACAGAGGAAACAGGTGGCCAGGACAGGAACCAGAAATGACCTGCAGGTAGCCACGGTCGTCCACGTTGGCCACATCAGAGATGACAGAGCTCACTGGCTGCCGTAGAGGCCAGAACTACACCCATCTGTGAAGTACCACACCGCAGATATCCTGAGACACTCTAATAGTCGAGCTTCAAAGGCAAACTTCCGCAGAGCCAGGATTTTGACCAGGTCGGCAGTGTGGACGCAACCCCGAGGCTCAGATGGCTGCCAGTCCTGGCCACAGCCTCTCCGTGCAGCACGTGTCCCTTCCCGTGGACGTCCCCAACACAAAAGGGGTCAAACTGTCAGGCTGTGTCTCAGATTCCCGATGGGCAGTCATGTCCTCTCACGGAGGACCCCGTGGTGGGAGGTCTCCAGGAGAGCGGCCCAGGGAGGCAACCTGGACAAAGGCACAGAGGACCCCAAGGAAGGAAGAGCCGAAGCGGCGGCTTTGACCTGGAGCCAGCCCTGAGAAGGAAACTCAGGAGGGCTCAACGTGGAGCCTTACAGTGGGCGCATCAAGTCATACCCACCAGAACCTGACAGGTAGGGGGCTTGCTCTGAAAAGGATCTGGGGGCTTTAGTGGCCACCTCCAGCAGCCAGGAAGGGGGAAGTCACAGTCCCTTGATCTGACTGCACCTGGAGGACGACCAGACAGGGCACGTGAGGTGGAGACAACGCAGGAGGATCACGAGAGCCGGGACACCAGGTGCTGCGAGCGTCCTCAGGGGCCGCCAGGGAGTCCTTGCATGTCGGGGTCCACCTCGTTCTGTGGCTGTCTAGCATGTGTGGGACTCATTTGGGCTCTAAAGTATTTCACCTGCAGAGACTGAGGGTCTTTCCATGAGGAAGCCCTTCCTCCAGCCCCTCTGTCAGCCTCCCAGGGGCCCAGGCATCAAAAAGGATGACTCCCAAGCCCACAGGCTCAGCTTCGGGCATCCCTCAGTGTGCGTCTGCGTCTTTGTGGTGCTCGATGAAAAGTTTTCTCCACTCCCACTCTGGGCTGCCTTTGGTTTATGTAATAGAGAGATACAGAAGTGCACACACACGTGCATGTTGTCTTATCATTCTACATCATCTGAACGTCCTTTTCCGCTCCAGTAACATGACGGACCCTGGTGCATACCCTCCTCCCCTCCCACCCGGCCCAGCAGCAATCGCTTGGAGATCCACCAGAGGCCCATCCATGGCGCCCGTCAGGAGTCCCAAGCCCTTCCTAAGCTGCCCCCTCTTCCCTCACTCCCCATTGGTGACCACTCCACCCACGAGGGCCTCATCTCCCCACCTGCCTCCCACAACTCTACCTCCTACAGGGAACCTTTCCAATCCTCTTAATTCTAGCGTCTTCCCTCTGCTGATTATTTCAAATCTGCGCCATATCCATCTTTGTCCACTCTTGTGTGCGTGTCTCCTCCAGCAAACAGTGAGCTCCTTGAGGGCAGGGTCTGTTTTTTCTAACCCGAGCATTCGGCACACAGCAGGCACTTACTATATACTTGCTCCCGGTCCTCCTTTTCTCTCTCTCTCTGACCAGGAGGAATATTTTCCCATCATGAAAGTGGTAATTCCCCTCTAGGCCAGGGGAGGAAACGGAATGCATTGTGGCATTTCGGAAGAAACACCATGGGTCAGGGTTGAAACAAGTCCCTGTGAGAACAAAGACCAAGGGGGTGGGGGGTGGGATAAACACAACTGGCTAGAGTCCAAACCATCAGCTGTGATTTCCTGGGAAGTCTGGAAAAAGAGATCCCGTCCAGGCAGGTGGCAGCAGGTGAGCCCACAAAATGGGCGAGGAAAGCGTACAAAGTAGAAATGGTCCACCGAGAGGATATGGAAAAAGAGAAAGGGCGCTAGCTTCCTACCTCTGTTGCGGAAACAAAGGAATCCGTCGAGGCAATGCTCAGCGTGTCTCGGAGGCCAAAATCGTCCATGTTCCCCCTCACCGTGATGTCTGTGTCTTTGTCTAAAAAAGCCAAAAGGAAGTCCAGAACTCATCTGCTCATTCATAAGGCCACATCGGATACAGTTCTTTATTTAATGTCATGGTCTTTCATTGGGAAGGGAAAGGTCAATCCAGATCAACCAACCTGTTTGGAATCCCCAGGCCTGGGGGGCTGCTGGGACCAATGCTGGGGAGAAGGCATGACCAGGAGGGCAGAAGCCTAGTCCTCAGACCTACCCCAAGTTAGGCACCAAACTGCCTAAATGGCTTCAGGGGCCCCGAGGCCATCACAAGAGAGTCACCGCATCAGGCTCTTAAAAACAGTGTGTTGCAAAAAACAAACAAACAAATAAATAAATAAATAATTAAAAATAAATAAAAAAAAATTAAAAAAACAAAAACAAAAACAAAAAAAGAACCAGTGTGTTGCAATGAAAATCGTATTCACATCCAGAGAAAGAACTATGGAGGCCGAATACAGACGGAAGCAGACCATTTGCTCTCCTTTTCCTTTGTTGCTTTGTTTTACTGCTTCATTCTTGTGGTTCCTCCCATTAGTTCTAATTGTTTTTTACATCATGACTAACAGGAAAATATGTTTAATATGAATGCATAAGCAGAGCCTACAACAGATTGTAAGCTGGGGGGGGAGGGAGAGTGGTGGGAGGGGAAGAAAATTTAAAACTCAAAATCTTATGGAAGTGAATGTTGAAAACTAAAAATAAATAAATTAATTATTGAAAAAACAAAAACAAAAACAAAAACAGTGCATTGACTATGAGAGACAAATGTTTCCTGAATTTTCTGCCCTTGGGGTTCTCAGTCAGCTGGAATCCTGAGCTGCTTTGCCCACCTCCCTTCAGGCCCCAAATCGTCCCCAATGACAGTCTTTCTGAGTCTCCAGTGACCACTAACCCCCGAGAGTTAGGAGACCCAGGCGTGGGCAGCAAACATCCTCAGGTCCAATCCTAGGCTTTTTCACACTCCCTGGATCCACACTAATCTACACAGCACAACAGAATAGGGATGAACGCCTCCTTTTCTTTCCAAGCCACAGCTGCTCCACGAGGACGGCGGACGCAGGATGGGCCATCTCCCCCGTATCTGAGCTGGAAATCTTAAGCTGAAGTCTGAATTTCTTTCAGATGGACTTTGCAGGGATTCTAAGAACAAATACTGATGAAAGTAACATCTTCCATTCCACCCGCCACCCCCAAATGCTTATCAAGCAATGGTTACTGGGACAATTCTGAGCTTTCAAAAAATAAAACACATTTCAAAAGCACATTTTCAGCATTCTAGTTTATACATCTGCCTTGCCTTGGGAGTAAAATCAGAGTGATTTTTTTCACTTTCTACTTAAAACAAGACTCACACAGCTACCACCGCTGGGCATTCCAAAATCCATAGAAATGCCCCAGTCTTGCTCTCACCAAACCTATCCCAAGCAGCTATGCCCACGTGTGCACATACACACACACACAACACGGGGACAACAGGTTTTAGCTTTTCAAGGTGACACTTCTAAGCAGGACGACTGCACCTTTGCTACAACTTTTAAGTCTGAGCACTAATCACACAGAAGAAGGCTTGCATGGCTAGAACAGGATGACGTGCATAACTGTAAGGGCAAGGTTGGCTTCATGTGCCTTTTGCTCTATTCAGAGAGAAACACAGACATTATTTATCTGGTGTTACTTGAACTTGAGACATTCCCCATGAGCTGCTGGATTCCCAACAACCGGCAATTGGCAGCCAGCTACCAATGTCACTCCTATCAGTTACTACGGCTATCCATATGTCAGGCAAAAACTCCAGAACTGGAATGCATGGCTCATCGTACCCACCTCCACAAGCCACGCCCTACCCTCTTACTCCAGGCATTGTGAGGTTTCTGAACAGCACCCGAGAAAAACGCCATCTGTTTTGGAGATGAGCCAAGAAGCAGCGTTCAGAAAGGAGGAGGGTACTGGGCCTCTGCTGGCTACTAAGTGTACAGTTTTTTAAAAGGATGAAAAAAATCCACTGGACAGTATCTGAAACATAATTTGCTTTTATATTTTCAAAAAAATATTACCTTAGTAAAATAAAATGCAATCCTTTTAAGAAAAAACGACTTCATTGGGACCTCAAGTGAGAAGACAGAAGAGGCCTAAAACTCCCTTTAGCCATGCCTGGCCACAGGATGTCTTTTTCAGTCTCTCCCTTCCTTGGGCTAACAAAACCAGCATTCAGCTGCCCTCTGATCATCTCTCAACAGAATGGGCCTTTCGAGGCACTCCTCCAAACCCTTCTCTCTCCTGGTGACCACGAGAATACCCTCGTGTGTGCCAGTAGGATAGGTCAGGGATGGAGTGCAGGTCCACCCCAGAAGCTCTCTTCAGATTAGGGGAACTGGCCAAGTAGGAGTCATTCATACCATGACCTAATCACCTGAGCCAAAGAGCCCTACCACCAGTTAGGTGGAGAGGCAAAGAAGGAGGAGGAGACGGGGTTGGCCTAATCCCTGAACGAACTAGGGAGTCCCCGAAAGACTGAGTGAACTGAGTGAGCATTTTGTAAATGAAGGAGTAAACTCTCCTCTTCGGATTGCGGACATTTCTGGGCAGAAAGGGTAGGCCCTGGTACCTGGGGTACCTTCCAGACAGTCCCCTGTAACAACGAAAACCAGACTTCCGGGGAGGCAGTGGGGAGGAGCACTGGTGCTTAGTCCAGGAGACCCCACAACAGCAAAGAAAGATGCTAGAAACACAGTCAGCTTTGCCGAAGAGCCCTAAGCATGATGAGCAGAAAAGGTAGCTCTAGTCAGATACAAAAAATCTGCGAGCTCATCAAATAACTAGAAGCTGATTAATACCTGGCTAATAAATGTGGCTTTATACAGAAAAGAAAACTGAAATAAATTTAAATACAATGAGCAGAATGAGGAAGAAAAAAGCCGACTAGGGTAGACTCTGTACCATCCATTACATCAACTCGTCTTCTGGCTGCTCTCGTCCTTGATTTCAAAGAGGCCCGGAGCCATCATAGGCGGCCTTGACTCGAGCACGAATTGGATTCAAACAAGAGTGGTCAGCCTCACTCCCTCTCCTTGAGTCATCACAGTCCAGGGACAGGACAAAAGGAGGGATGACTGGCAAAGGCCCCGGGTTCGGTGGACGACCGTGGCATCTCTGATGTCTGACCCAGCTCTGAGTGCTCCATAGCACCCACTTTCTTCTCATCCGTCCATTCCAGCAAGGGAAGCCTTCACATGCTTGGGGCAGACATCCCCCGACTCACTGACAACGAGTTTGAGGTCCATTGGTTACCCTCAACCTGGCTTAGCCCCCGCCAAGACGGCTTTAGCTGAGCCTGAGGGAGGGTGGTAGCGAGGTGGTGGCATGGGAACTCAGACCCCACAGCCAGCATCCTTTGCACCACACCACTCGGGCCTTTGTCAAAGTCTGAAGACACAGGCTATTTGGAGGGAGACTGTCCTAAGCTCCATTTCCTGTGGGCCCAAAGAGCAGTGTCTGGCATGTAGCTGGCGCATGATAAATGCTTCCTGAATTGCCTTGGCAAATGCCACTCTTATGGAAGAAAGCTGACTGGTTAAAAGCAGCCCCCCAAATCTATCCTCTCTCTGAACCTAACTTCAGACCCAGCAAAATCACAGACTCCCAGGTGACATCACTTACCCACCCAGCATCCCTGCTTCAACTTAGGTCTTTCTAAGAATAATGCTTCACAAAGAAGCATCGGGATGTCTTCAAAAAGGTGAACGTGCTCAACAAATGAGGGGAGAGGAGAAATTGTTTTCTTCAGTGGTAATGGGCCACTTCAGTGTTTGATGTATCTGGTCTATCACCTAGTACAAACCTTAAAATCAACAAAGACTTTTGGGACAACTCTGTATATTGGACCTAAGAAATTAGCTTTGAAGGTTTTCCTCTCTGTGAGTAAAAACCTAACTTACACATCCCCAAAAATCTCTTCCCTTGATATCAAGTCAAGTCAAGCCAATAAGCATTTATTAAGCACTTTCTGTATGCCAGACACGGTGCAAAGTACAGGGGTACAAAGAAAAGAACTGAGGAACTCACAACCACACATGATTACGCACATGGGAGGGAGACGCCCAGACTGAAGAAGGAGGCAGGGCAAGGATTAATGACCCAGGCAACGGGGTAGCATCGCAGCACACAGAGCCCTGGCCCTGGAGTCAGGGACGGGCCAAGTTCAAATCCAGCTTCAGACACTTCTTAGCTGTGTGACCCTGGCCAAGCCACTGAACTTCTGTTTGCCTTAATCCACTGGAGAAGAAGATGGCAAACTACTTGTCTGGAGTGAAATTTAACAAAGAGGAGAACTGAGGCATGTTTCTCTGAGCAAAGTCAGTTCATTCATAGGGTGCCATAACCATTAATACAGGGTCAATGGCTGCCACAGTTTCCAGCCAAAGGCCCAGAACCAACGGTGCGACTCATTTGACAAGCCCAGAACAAAGAACAGAACAGAAATCCTACCGCTGGTTATGGAACTGGCAACATCATGGGGCACAGGAGCGGGTAAAGACGGGACAAGGTCGGACGGTCAGGATGTTCTCAAGGGAATGTTGACCCCACGCACAGGAAGACTTCCCCGGTGGAACAGGAGGATGAAAACAACGTGTTCCTATGGCCAACGTCATCAGCTGCATACTGGGCCATCCCCCACGGTCCTGACTCCTGCCTCGCCACTGAACTCGGATGACTCTGAAGGAGAGAGAGGCCGACGACATTGCTTGGCTCTGCCTCGTTTCAGTTCGATTCGCACTCGTGTCAAGACGTCGTCCGTAATGTCTCCAGTCCCCTTCCACGGGGCTGAGTCACAGACACCAGGAAGGTTCCTGGAGACAGATGCTGCACGGGCAAAGCTGTTTACAGAGGTGGCCGAGGTAACAGTTTCCATAGTGCTTCATGAAAGGACTTCTCCCTACCTAGCGGCTCAGGCTCAGCCAGACATCTGCGCTTACGGGCTTCTAGCCTCGGAGACAAAGG